GAGGCCGCCTGGGACGTGTTACCCTATGAATGGCTTCAGCTCCTCAGGCCAAATGAGCCACGGGATAGGCAGAGATCAAAGGAATGGAAATTACCCAGTGCCTGTGAAATAATTTACATTTGGTGCCTGCAGGCACCATCATTGTAATGGAGAATGCAAGGACGGCTCCCTACACCAGGGTATTAATATCAGCTAGACTGTACCTTCCAGGAGCCTACTTTGTAGTTGTAGAGATGGATAAATTCACTAAACAAGTAAGTTTTAATAATTTTGAAAACCTTAGATGGAGAAATACAGAGGTCTGTGGTATTGGTAGCAGGTATTTTCTCCATCTTAATCTCAATTCATATTATGGGTACCCAGAGTAATTTATTTTTGTACATTTCTATTATTAAATAATAAAATTAAAACACCAATATAGTTTGGCCATAGTAGGAAATTAAAATGTAATTGCAAGGATTAAACACACATCTTTGTTTTTCAGAAGTAACTGGATTTTTGTTTTGAGGTTAAATAAGTCAGTAATTAGATAGGAACTTGTGTATAAGTTTACCATGGGAAATAAGGTCAACTTAGTTTCATGTTAAGTTCATATCATCTACTGTGTATTTGTCATCCCAAGCTTGTGCAAATGAAACATACTTTGTATTTAATGGTGCTAAAATAGAATCTTGGTCATTGTGTTTGTGAGAGGGTTGCATTTGGGTAGAAATTTATCCTTGTAGTCATCAATACAGCAGTCTATATAAAAGGATTCTGAAGTTACTCAAATCTACACGTTAGGAGGTAAATTACAGTTACACTCTTGTTTTTCCTTCACCTTAGTCACAGAACCTTAACAAATGCCTAACAGTACTTTGCCATATAGCACCTGTATAACTCAGGAAATTTGCATAATTTGAGAGGTTTTCTAATTTGTTAAGTTGTATAAAATTGCCTTTTCTGTATATTATATAATTAAAAACAGATACTAGAAAACTGACCAAGATTGTAGAGATTCAAAAGGTAGTGATTGATTATAATATTATTTTGTGTCAGAATCCCACAAATACACTTTTTTTTAAAGTAAAAGCATTCACTTATATTTGATGTGCTAGATAAAGTATGATCTCCAGTAAGGAGTGACTATGTGGAGTGAGCATTTAAAGCATTTAAAAGGCAGCAGTGATAGCACACTTAGTTAATTTTGTGATCTTTATTGCAGATTGTTTCACATGAAAATATATAATAGTATCTGATATGCACATTAACTATTTAGTGGATGTTATAGCAAACAAAGAATTTTAATATCAAATTACATAATTTAGTAGATTGTCTCCGTGGAATACTTAATTAATGCAGTTATTTAGTAAAATAATCAGTGAGCAAGATAGCTAGAATAACTCTAGCTATAAACAAGAATTGGACTGTTAGACTGATTCACAGGCTATGAATTATTTTCCTCACATGACCAGTCTTGAGTGATGGGATTTGTTGGATTGAAGATGCCATCAGAAAAAGTCCAGGGTTTTCTTATCTTTCATATTCATCAGAGATAATGTATTCTGTTGCCCAAAGAATAGCAGCTCCACTTCTAGTGATTTGCATTTGAATTTCATTAACCAGCATGTGAGTGGGTAGTTCTGAAAATTGCTGCTCCAGAATTGCTCCCATTAGGCCAATCTTGTATCAGTGAGTGCATCACCTGTTTTCAGGTGAGAGTATGAAGTGGCATTCCTTTCAGTTAGGCACATTGATGTCTTAGAACAAATTGGTTTGAAAATTAAGTGGAGAGAGCTGATGAAGTGGCTCAACTGGTACAGGTACTTGCTGTTCAACCCAAGTTTCCTCCCCAGGACCCACCCACATAATGGAAGGAGAGAGTTGACTGCCGAATGTTGTCCTATGACCTTTACTTTTGTACTATGGCATGACATATCCACACACAACCACATACACATACACATAAACAATATAATAATTTTTTTACAGACAGGTTCTTACTATATATCATTGACTAGCCTGGAACTCGCTATGTAGACTGAATCGGCCTCAAAATCAAAGAGTTGTTCTACCTCTGCCTCCTAAATTCTGGGATTAAAGGCATGCACTACCAGATAAAATTTTTAAAAATTAAGTAGAAAGTACTTTGTACTTAGTGATATTTGCCATGGTGTATAAATACTAACTAAATAGATTTTTGATTTTTTAAATGATCTTAAAATTATGTTGACAATAATTAAAGAACAATAATAATTAAGAGTTTTTTGAGAAAAAAAGATATTCTGATATTTGAAGTAAACTTTTTTCTCTTCTTTCTTTTATTTTTTATTTATTTTTCTTTTTTATTTAAATTAAAAACAAGCTTCATTTACATGTCAATTCCAGTTCCCTCACCCTCCCCTCCTCTTCTGCCCCTCACCAACCCCCATCACCTTTCTGCTCCCAGAGAGGGCGAGGCCTTCCATGGGGGGAATCCAGGATCTGTCATATCATTTGGAGCAGGGCTTAGACCATCTCCCTTGTGTCTAGGCTGAGAGAGTATCTCTCTGTGTGGAATGGGTTCCCAAAGTCCATTCATGTACTAGGGATAAATACTGATCTACTACCAGTGGCCCCATAGATTATCCAGACCTCCAAACTGACATCCTCATTCAGGGGGTCTGGTTTCCCAGCTATCAGTCTGGGGTCCATGAGCAACCCCTTGTTCAGGTCAGCTGTTTCTGTGGTTTTCTTCAGTCTGGTCTTGACCCCTTTGCTCATCACTCCTCCCTCTTTGCAACTGGGTTCCAGGGTTCAGCTAGGTGTTTAGCTGTGGGTGTCTGCTTCTGCTTCCATCAGCTACTGGATGAAGACTCTAGTATGGCATATAAAGTAGTCATCAATCTCATTATCGGAGAAGAGCTTTTAAGGTAGCCTCTCGACTATTGCTTAGTTTGTTAGTTGGGGTCATCTTTGTAGATCTTTGGACATTTCCCTAGTGCCAGATTTCTCTTTAAACCTATAATGGCTCCCTCTATTATGGTATCTCTTTTCTTGCTCTCTATTCTTCCCCTGACTCGATCTTCCTGCTCTCTCTTGTCCTCCTCTCCCCTACCATTCTCACCTTCTCCTTCTTCTAATTACCTCTCACCTTCCCCCCATGCTCCCAATTAGCTTAGGAGATCTTGTCCTTTTCCCCTTCTCTGGGGGACCATGTATGTCTCTCTTAGGGTCCTCCTTGTTTCCTAGCTTCTCTGGCAGTGTGGGTTGTAGGCTGCTTTTTCTTTGCTCTTGGTCTAAAATCCATATATGAGTGAGTACCTACCTTCTTCCTTCTTTCCTTCCTTCCTTCCTTCCTTCCTTCCTTCCTTCTTTCTTTTCTTCCTTCCTTTCCTTTTCTTTCTTTTTCTTTTCTTTTCTTTTCTTTTTTTTTTTTGAGACAGGTCTTAAACTCTCAAAGATCCATTTGCCTCTGTCTCCTGAATACTAGGATCAAAAACCACCACACTTGGCTTAAATCTTTTTCTTAACTAAACTTTAAGTATACAATGCTTTCTTTGTTCTTGACTATAGATGTGATGTTGCACAGCAAATCTCAAGTGTTTATTCCAGTTCCTTGACTGAAGCTCATTGATTAGTAACTTTTTATTTCCCCTTTACCCTGGTAACTACCAATTCTGTTATTCAGTTCCATGAATTTGACTTTCTTCGATACCTCAGATAATGTTTGCAATGCTTATCTTTCTATTCATCTATGCAGGCCTGGAAAAATGGCTCAATTGTTAAGGAAACTTGCCACTTTTCCAGAGGGCTTGGGTTCAATTCCTAGCACTCAAAAATGTTGACTTACAACCATCTATAACTCTAATCACAGGGGATTGGTGTCCTCTTCTGGCCTCCAAGGGTACTGGGCATTTATGTGGTACACAGATTTACATGTGTAACATGAATAATACAAACCCAGAGACAGATATTGGGGTTCAAGCTGAAGATCAGAGAAGCAAAGCAGCTAAACCACCAGAGAGCTCTCACCTCCACCTGTGCTCAGACCAAAAGGGCAATCTACCAAACCACAGATTTAATCTCCAGACAGCACTGCTCCTTACCAAATCTCAGACTCCTAGACTGCTCTCTGAGACTGCACTGAGCTCTTTATATACTCTCTAATGCTGATATTAAATGTGTGAGCTCTGTTTCTCTTTAGACTGATTTACTCTCATGTAGACCAAAGTGGCCTTGAACTCATAGAGATCCATCTGCCTAGCCTAGCTTCTATGGCTTGCATTCTTATTCCCATGCAAGCTTTATTAAATCATAAACAGTTTATTACTACATACCTGCAGGCAGAACACACTAAAAATGATAACTTTAAAAAATTTTAAGGTCCATCTATGCTACTGTATACTCAAATGTATCTCTCAGGCTGAAGTATATTCCACTGTGTGAATATATACTCCATTTGCTTTGTCCATTCTTTTCCTTTCAAGTCTTTAATCCATATTGAATTGGTTTTTATATATGCTGTAAGAGTCTAGTTTTATTTTTTTGCATATGAATATCCAGCCTTCCCAGCAGCATTTCTTAAAGAGACTTTCCTTTCCCTATTTTATAGGCTTAGTACTCATGTTGAAGATCAGTTGACTATATTGGTGTGGATTTATTTCTGGGTCTCTGGTCCCATTCCATTAGTTTGTTTGTCTTTCTGTTAGTACCATACTGTTTTGATTACTATAGATTTATAATATATTTTGAAATCTGGATATGTGATAACTTCAGTTTTATTGTTTTCTTTGAAAGTAATTTGGCTTTGTGGTCTTTCATGCTTATTTTAGAATGGTTTTTCTGTGTTTATAAACATGTCTCATTAAGTCTATAGATTACAAGTACATCTTTTTAAAAATTTATGATAGTTATAAATTGCTTCATTTGTGGATGCTTTTTTACCATAATGGAAGTAGTAAAAATTATACTGTCTGTTCTACCCTTGTTTACTGGAAGAATATTGCATTATGTCTAAGAACTGGCTCAAATGTTGATTTGGAACTAGCCAGATGGCTTAGCAGGTAAGGCATTGGTTGCCAAGCTTCACAGCCTAAATTCAGTTTCTAGGACCCACATGGTAGAATGCAGGAGAGAACCAACTCCTGCAAGTTGTTCTCTGATCTCCACTCACATGCAGTGTGTATACCCACCCACATATACTCACACCAAATACATGAATAACTATAAAAAATTATTTGAGCATTATTTTTAGTAGCAAAGTCCTAGAACTTATCTAAATGTTCCTTGGTAACTAGTCTGACCTGTAACACGAGGTTTCTCTCCCACCTGCCAGTTCCTGAATAACCACTCTGAGGCTTAGTATTAATTATAAACTGTTTGACCTATTAGCTAAGGCTTATTATTAACTAGCTCTTATGACTTAAATTAACCCATTTCTCTTAGTCTATATTTTACCACAAGGCTCATGGCTTGTTACCTCACATATTGCTTTCCTAGTGGCTGCTTGTTTCTCCACCTTCTTTCTCTCTGTTTGGATTTCCCATCTAGCTATCTTCTACCCTGCCATAGGCCAAAACAGCTTTATTCATCAACCAATGAAAGCAACATATTCACAGCATGAAGAACATCATCCCATATCACTGACCTAATGAAATATTGTATTTTTTTTTAAGAGTTACTGTTTTGTTTTTTTTTCTTTAATGTGCACTACACATGTCTATTAGGAAGGCTTGGAGATGGAGTTGTGTTTTCTTAAACTCAAGTTATAGGTGGTTGTGAGCTTTTGTGTGGGTGCTGGGAACCAAACCCAGGTCTTCTGTAAGAACAGCAAGTGGTCTGAACTACTGAGTCACCTCTCTGGCCCTGAAGTATGGTGTTTCTACGTAATCAAATAATGTGCAACTTTCTCCCTTCCTTTTTCCCTACCTCTCTCATATCCTTAAATAAGTCAGAGTCTCCCTAAGTACCCAGTTTGGATTCAAATTTGAGATACTTCTGCCTTGGTCTCCCCACTATTAGGATTATAGGTATTACTCTACCTACCAATATCTGTGCAGCTTTAAACATGAGTGGAATTTCTATTAATGATATGATTAGGTTTAATATAAGAAGCCATATGATGAACAAATTGCAGAACAGTTTATATAATGCAGAATTAAAATTACTAGAAAAATTAACATAGGTTTGTATTTTATGAAGAAAATTAATATTTGAAATCATTATAAGGCTTTTAATTCTTTAATTCCATTTGTGTTCTAAATTTTTATTCAGGGTTCTCGGTGCTCTTCTGATGCCAATATGCTTGGAGAAATGATGTTTGGCTCAGTAGCAATGAGCTACAAAGGATCCACCCTAAAAATTCATCAGATCCGGTGAGGGAGTTCAGTTCTTCTTATACTCATTGTAGATGTTTTTAGAAGATGAAAGGACTTCTTACTTCTGTACTTAGATTGAGCATGTCAGATGCCCAGCTTCCGATGTCACAGTTTTAGTGCTTCTTCTCAGCCCTTGTGATGATGTTACAAAATCTCTAACTTAACAAAATTGTATTTACAATAAATCAAAAAATCATTGTATTTTAGTTTTAATCTCTTTCTGACATTTTGTTTTCTTTCATAGTTCACCTCCACAGCTCATGCTTAGCAAAGTTTTCACTGCCCGGACTGGAAGCAGTATTTGTGGAAGTCTCAATACGTAAGTGCTTACAGATGCAGGGGAAAATTGATATTTGATATTTGAGATATAAAAGTATAAACATTAAAATGGATTTTTAAACTACAGTACATACAGTTTATATCTTACCCAAGTTTGAAAGTTTATGGAGGCCAGATTATACCCTTTCTGAATATAATTGTACATACAGATGTGATTCCTTTTTCTGTAGTTTTTTGTGTTGATAAGAGGCTATGTACCATTCTCAACTTTATATGGAGAAACAAAAGACCCAGGATAGCCAAAACAACCCTGTACAATAAAGGAACATCTGGAGGCATCACCATCCCTGACTTCAAGCTCTATTACAGAGCTATAGTCCTGAAAACAGCTTGGTATTGACACAAAAATAGACAGGTAGACCAATGGAATAGAGTTGAAAGCTCTGATATTAACCCACACACCTACGCACACCTGATTTTTGACAAACAATCCAAATTTATATGCTGGAACAAAGAGAACATCTTCAACAAATGGTGCTGGCATAACTGGATGTGGACATGTAGAAAACTACAGATAGACCCAAGCCTATCGCCATGCACAAAGCTTAAGTCAAAATGGATCAAAGACCGCAACATAACCCCAGCCACACTGAACCTATTAGAAGACAAAGTGGGAAATATCCTTGAATTAATTGGTACAGGAGACCACTTCCTGAACATTATACCAGTAGCACAGATACTGAGATCAACAATTGATAAATGGGACCTCCTGAAACTAACAAGCTTCTATAAGGCAAAGGACACAGTCAGCAAGACAAAACAGCAGTCCACAGACTGGGAAAAGATACTCACCAACCCCACATCTGACAGAGGGCTGATCTCCAAAATATACAAAGAACTCAAGAAGCTAGTCTCCAAAACACCAAACAATCCAATTAAAAAGTGGGGTACAGAACTAAATAGACAATTCTTTATAGAGAAATCTAAAATGGCTGAAAGACACATAAGAAAGTGTTCAACATCCTTAGCCATCAGGGAAATGCAAATCAAAACAACTCTGAGATACCATCTTTGCCAACTTGCACAGCCACTTTGGAAATCACTATGGCAACTCCTCAAGAAAATGGGAATGAGTCTACCACAAGACCCAGCAATTCCACTCTTAGGTATATACCCCAAAGAAGCACATTCATACAACAAGGACATCTATTCAACCATGTTCATAGCAGCACCATTTGTAATAGCCAGAAACTGGAAGCAGCCTAGAAGCCCCTCAACTGAAGAACTGATAGAGAAAATGTGGTACATTTACACAATGGAGTACTACTCAGCAGAAAAAAAAAACAATGGAATCTTGAAATCACAGGCAAATGGATGGAACTAGAAGAAACCATTTTGAGCAAGGTAACCCAGTCACAAAAAGACAAACATGGTATGCACTCACTCATATATGGATTTTACACATAGAGCAAAAGATTACCAGCCTACAATCTACACTGCCAGAGAAGCTAGTAAACAAAGAGGACCCTAAGATCAACATATATGGTCCCCTGGAGAAGGGGAAAGGGTCAAGATCCCCTGAGCAAATTGAGAGCATGGGAAGAGGGGGGAGGGAGCTAGGAGAATGAGAAGGGAAGAAGAGGAAGGATGCAGAGTTCATGAGGGAGCAGAAAGGTTGAGTCAGGGGAAGAATAGAAGAAAGGATATGTGATAGGTAGGTAGGGTTCTAATTGGGGGGGGGGTGGTAGGGGAGGACGGGAGGGAGAAGGGCACTGGGATTGGCATGTAAAACAATCTTGTTTCTAATTCAAATAAAAAAAAATCTGAAAAAAAAAAAAGAGGCTATGTACCAGGACCCTAGTAAAGAAAGTAATGAGTTAGAGTTAGTGGTGAGGTTAGTGGGACTTTGTAGGTGCCAAATCAGAACACTGACTAGCTTAAATATTATGGTAATCCAAAGTCTAAATGAATGGGAAACAGCAGAAAACCTACTAGAGAATTTCTTTTGAGCCTTGAAAGATTTCTGTTTTGAGGGGTTTTATTATAGAGGTTTCTTCCCTCTATAGCTCATTTACCTTTTTTGTAGGAAAAAAGGAAAAGGAAGATGTTTTTCAAAATATTGTGGATACTTTAGAAAATGATGTTGCCAAAATGCCAACTTTTAAAATTTGATACTGATATAGAAATTAAAAATAATTTTAAAACATTACAGTCTTCTTTTTTTCTAAATTTTAACTGATAATTCTTAAAATTTATGGAAAAGATATTCATACTGAAAGCATAGTAATTTTGCTTTTGTTATTCACAAAGAGAATTAAAGTAATATACATCATAATTTGATTGCTATTCCTGCTGCTCTCTTCCCCTTCCTCTGTTCCTTCCTCATCTGCAATTGTCATTTGACCATTCCCAACACCAGATGTTTAGAAAATATTTTTAGTTCAAAATATGAGGGAAACCTTGTCTGTGTTGTGTATCAGTAACAACAATTTACTTTGGAAAGAACCAGATGGTAAATATTTTCTGTTTCATTAGCTGTATTGTATGCTGTCATTTCTTACTGCTGTCATTACAGCATTAAAACAGCCTTAAGCAACTTGTAAATGAAAAAACATGGTCATCCCGTGAAACTTTATTTATAAAAGGTATAGCATCTTGATGTGGCCTTCCAATATATCTTAGTAACTGATGGTTTAAGTGATTGCATAGTTATCACCATAGTTTATACTTATAATACTAGTAGTAATAGTTTTAACTTTAAAAGGGTTTAAATTTTTTTTAGGAACTATATAAAATAATAGATTTCATAATGATACTTCCATTCCATTATACTTTGTTCCTGTTTAGTTCCCTATTATCCTCCATATTCCCAGTAGTCTCCTTTGCCTCAATTATTTCAAGAAGTTTTACACTTGAAATTTCATTGGGATGTATAAAGAATTACCATTAAAAATCATAAAATATATTTGGAATTTTTTTGTTTTTCTTTCCTCTGTAGACTGCAAGACAGTCTTGAATTCATCAATCAGGATAGCAATACATTAAAGGCTGATAACAGCACAGTTATTAATGGCCTGCTTGGAAATATAGGTAGGTGGTTCATTTTCATTTTATAAAGTTAAAAAATGCTAACCATATAAAAGTATTTGTAGTAACTTTTTTTTTTTTTTTTTTTTTTGAGACAGGGTTTCTCTGTGTAGCTTTGTAGCCTGTCCTGGAACTAGCTCTTGTAGACCAGTCTTGGTCTTGAACTCACAGAGATCCACCTGCCTCTGCCTCCCAAGTGCTGGGATTAAAGGCATGTGCCACCACCAACCGGCAAAGTAACTTCTTATGATATAGATTTTTTGTATAACCAGAGAGCTTCTAATGGTGTAAATGGAAAGGTTGTTTAAATTTTACACATGTAACCTTTATGTTATTTGGAAAACATTTTTTTTCTTGTATTTTAATATGATATTCATTTTGTATCTAAGAAAAGAACTTCTGCATGCTTAATTTGTCTTCATTGTTTTTTGTTTTTAAATTTGATGTGTTTTTGAAAGGCTGAGTCATTGATATCGAAAGCCATTACCAGCTCTCTGAAATTTTAGCTGGGAATAATTATCCCTACTCTCTTCGCTAACCTAAAGTCATTTTAAAATGGTGCTCGTTTTTTATGAATTGTGGTTCATATGAACAGATTCTCATATGAACAGATACTCAAATGATGACTCTCAAGCTTATTAGAATAACAGCTTAATTTAGTTAATTATGGATCACAATGCATAGTGCATTTTAAATGACATAGTATTTCTGCAGTTTCTTGCCTAGAAAGCACAACTAAATTGCTGCTTGATTATATATCTGATGCATAATATCAGGGAGTAGACAGTAACCTTTATTAAGTACTTTTATTTAGATGGTTATATTTTTTCCTTTTTGAGATATGATCTCATTGTGTAGTTCAAGCTGCCCTGTCACTTACTATGTAGCCCATAGTAAATTTTATGTTTTAAATTTATCTTTATTCAAATGAGATTCTACTAAGCACTTGTTGTGGGTTAGTCTTACTGTAAGGCCTGTTTTATAGTATAGGTCAGTTTATAGAAGAAGTTCTTTCAAACTCAATTGATAGGAATCAATGATTCTAATGAAGTAAAACTGCAACAAAGAAATGTCCTTTTAAAAATAATTTGATTATTTTAAAACTCCAAGGGCTTATTGAAAGTGATTCATTTTAATAGTATAAATGAATTGATATTTATAAAATTAAATTATACTATGGAGACTATTTGGCCTTTCTGTTCAAATATAAAAGAGAAATTTAATCCATTTAATTAAGCTACAGGCTTTAAATAATGCATAGCTTGTATTTCTACACTTTTGACTGTGAATTAAGGATAGTTGAGATCTATTCTGACTTTGTTTATGTTTCCAGTTGACCAATCAAGTGTTTTTAAAGCATCTGTAATATGACCAGCTATCTGGTAGACTCTGAAGAGGCAGTGGTAAGCTAACACAGTTTTTGCCTCAGTGGATTTGTAGTTAGCACCATTAAATAAATAATACAACCACAGTATGCTATAATGTATACAAGATTAAAATTATGTGGCTGTGATTAAAATATAAGATGAATTTCATCTTGGAGAATTGTAAAAGGCTTCCTTGAGAATAAGACATCTAAACTTGAAGAATTATTTATATAGTTAGGGAAAGAAGTACCCAGTAGTAATACTGGACCAAGGGACACACCATCATAAAGCATGTAAATAAGTTCACATGAGTGGAGCACACAGTAGAGATAAAAGAAAATAAAGAATTGAGGGTAAAGGTGTATGGGAGGATTTGGAGGAAAGAAAGGGAAGGGAGAAATGATGTAATTAAGGTGCAGTCTCCAGCATCAATGGAGAAAAGGAAGAACTGAGCAAAAGCAAGATGGCAAAGAGAACCATGGGCAACAAATTTATATTCATACTTTATGCAGTCAGATAACAATGAGAAAATGCTAGTCTTTTCATTGTGCCATGACAGGATTAACTATGCAAAAATTTTATTACTGGAAATGACTATGAGAAAGAAAATGAGGGAGATGGGAAAAGCCAAAAGAACCATAGATGGTGATGTGTATCTGACTCTAAGGAGAAAAGCATATAATAGCTTTCTAAGGAGGAAAGGTTTGGCAAGACAAGGAAGAAATTTTGAGTTTAGACCTACTTATCAGAAATGTCCCATATTTCCCCAACATAGGCCTGGACTTTGTATCCCCTGTATTAATCACTGACTAGGAGCTTGTTATGGGTAATATATAGCTGTGCACAAATATGCAATGGATTTTAAAGCACAGTTAGAAATTAGATACACTCTCAAGGCTTCAACAGAAAGTTGTTTAGAATCCAACAACATAATCAGATCTGATTTTATATGTACAAAAAAAATGTCTTTCATGAAAATGGGTCTAGTTAAGAAGTTGGAGTTAAAATATGTCAAGAAAATTTTACCTCCTGTATGTAAGTTGTTGGAAAATGGAAGACCTCACTGACCTCCTAAAAGAGTCTTAGGGACTGCCAGGTGTCCTTCAACTACGTTTTGAAAACTGAACAACTCTAGGAATAGATATATATTGAGGAAACATGAAAGAGATTTGACTGCATGTAGGTGTTAATGGAAAAAAGTAAGCCATTGAGAGAATGAAATTAAAGATAGATATGATAGTTGAGAAAGGTTATTGAGGGAGAGTGTTGGGTTGGGGTACTAGCTGACATAGAATTTAGCTTAAGATGATAAGTAAGTTACTAGCATCATAAGGTTTGAATGTTACCTATTTCATTTAGGCAGGAAGTAAGCAAAGATAGGTAAGATTTGAGTAACTTTGAGGGTGGGTTGATAAGAAAAAAACAGTTTCAGTCTTGGAAGCTCTGTATATGTCCATGTTGATGCCCATGTAAACAGTCATGTAAAGAAATGTGGGTGAGGAAGGAGTTATAAAAACATTAAATTTTGAAATAGCTAGGGAACATTGAAGAAAGAACTGACCATTGAGAAATGGAAGGATTGCTGCATTATAATTACAGAAATTTCTGTTGTAGAAAAAAAATAGTATCAGTAATTTGAGAAATACAGATGTTATTTAAAGCAGAAGGCTGCCTGGCAGTGATGGCACACGCCTTCAGTCCCAGCACTCGAGGGAGAGGTAGGCAGATCTCTCTGAGTTCGAGGCCAGCCTGGTCTACAAACAGAGTTTCACAGCAGTCTCCAAAGCTACATAGAGAAACCCTGTCTTGAACACCCCCCCCCAAAAAAAAGCAGAAGACCACCTATCCTAGATGTTCAACTCCTACATTACTTAGACCAGGGGTTCTCTACTATGGGTCTTGCCCCTGGGTGTTTGAATGACCCTTTCACAGGGGTTGCCTAAGGCAATAGGAAAACACAGATATTTACAATTCATGGTAATAGCAACAAAATGATTTTATGGCTGGGGTCACCACAACATGAGGACTTGTATTAAAGAGTCCAGCATTAGGAAGGTTGAGAACCACTGACTTAGACTGTCATAATTGAATAAGTAACAGATAACTCAGTTGCTTCATTTTAGGATGTAAGCCCCCAACCCATACTTCTTTTGGAGAGAGGATATCTTTACGTAGCCCTGGCTGGCCTAGAATTCTGTATGTAGACCAAATTGGCTTTGAATTCATAGCAATCTGCTTGTTGGGATTAAAGGTGTGTGCTACCACTCCTGACCCTTATATCCTTTTGTGAGTATTTAGGACACTATCATTTCTTTGTGGTTGTGTGTGGTACTCTGTCTCCTGTTTTTATAGTGGGTAATCAGTTTTTAAAACATCAATTTCTTCTGTTTCTTTGTAGCTTACTACTGGACTAGCAATTTTTTGTGCTTATTTGTCAATAAAATTCCTTGATAGATTTGCTATGTTCTTGTGCTAAGTGTGGTAACACTGTCTTCTTAACCACATTCCCAGGAGAACATTGGAGTCTTAAAAACTGGCTTTTAAAACCAAGTTTCTTTAGCAAACATTAAATTATGTTGATACTGTTACCTTTTTGAGTGGTTAAAATGTTTTATGTTAGGATTAAACATTGAAATAGTTCTACCTTTTGTAACAGAATCTTATTTCTGTTGTTATAAATGGATTTATTCATAAATAGGCATGAAACGATTTTTTTTTTTTTTTTTGACCATGACTAAAAGGAGAAGTATACTTTTTCTAATAGAGAAAATGACCTGACTTGTTCTTGCTTTGGTTAAAAGTTCCTGTGCCTTACCTGTTGGTCTGCTCCTGTGTTACCTTACCTCACCTTATTTTCCTGACTCAGTGTAGCTTCTCTAACAGGCCTCTTTCATGTGTATTTTACATTTTTGCCATATAGGTCTTTCACAGTTCTGCAGCCCCAGGCGGGCATTCTCTGAACAGGGTCCGCTCCGCCTGATCAGGAGCGCCTCTTTCTTTGCAGGTTTGCCATGTGCTGTGTGGGTAGACTAGTTGGTGTGCCCTAGTGGCTAGAATCTCTAGTAAAGCTGTGGAAACAAGAGAGTGTAGAGATGGAGTTGGGAGGTTACGGTAAGAAAGCATTGCTTACTAAGTATAGGAACTTACTGCTTTCCACTGAGTATGTTCCTAAAGTTTGCACAAAATGTTTATCAAAAGGTTGGTGTTTTTAATGAAATTTCAGTTTGTCGTTTCTTTCCTCTGTATGTCATAATAATTTTAAACTTAAGACTCTTAAAGAAAAATTTAGTATGTAGCTAGCTTAGTAATTAGTTGTATTGCCCCTTGGAAATGTTAATGTTATACTGTCTTGTTTCCATGGCTAAATAGCTTTTGTATTGTAATTCACCAATTGCTGGCAACATCTGATCTTTATAATTGTTGCAAAGTTTCTGATCTACACTCTTCCCTAAGGACAACTTTTCTTGGAGCTAAGATTTAGATGAACAAGCATTGTTCTAACACTATATAAAAAGGCATGTGAGCATAATTACACATATCGTTACATTGTTACAGAGTGTGTGCCTTGCTTATATGTACGGGAGCACAGTCCTGATCCACTTATTTGAACATTGCAAACACATACTGATCTTGCATTATCATTTTCTAATAGAAATTATCAGTCTACAGATTTATTCGTTGTTGTTTATTATTTTCAATCTCCTTTACATAGGCCCAGCTGGTCTTGAACTTAAAATCCTCCTACCTAAATCTCCTGAATGGTAGGATTATGGATATTTGTCACCATTCCCTGCTATCCCATTTCTTGTTTTAATTTTACTTGTAAATGGTAGATATGAGCAATGCGTATTTTTCTTAGGTAATGTGGAAATTTAAAACTAGTTTTAAAAAATATACAATATATCCTGACAGCACTTATACTTACTTTTGTTTTTCATTTTGTTGTTTTTCCAGTGCAGTGGATCAAATCCAGGGCCTTATGTATGTTCTAGGCCAGTGCTTTATCACTAATTTACATCCTTGGCCCCCCCCACCTGTTTTCAAACAAAATTGGTATCAAATTATTTAAGCAAATTTATCAAATGTTTCATTACATAGCTTTAAATTCTTGTTTATTATGCTTGTGTTTCAACATTGTTACAGATAATCAGAACAAACTACCATAGAGTGTCACTTGGCCTCAGTAACTAACATTCATACCCTTTGATGGTATGCTTTTTTCACTTAATAGTATGAATATCTGTGTTTGACTGTGTTCTTAAAATATGAATTTTAGTCACTTCCTGGATTCTGTATCTTGGATAGTTTTGCACCACACGGTGAATCTTCATATAGATCTGAAAGCTTGTTCAATTGAATATTAGCTCCTAGTGTTGGGTTGGTGCCATGCTATTGAAAAAAGGAATGCAATGAGATGAAGCATGATCTAGTTTGCAATTTAAAAGGAGCAGCATCCACCTTAATAATAATATAGTTTATGACTGACTTTTTGTCTTGATTTGTAGTTCACAGCAACCCAATGGACATGCCGGGAAGAGAACCGAATGAGGACAGAGACAGCGGCATAGCACGCTCTGGTAATGTCAGGTTCATAAACTAACCCTGCTTTTTTCTGTGATTCTTGTTAGCTGGCATTGATTTTATTTTTATCTCTGTCTATATTGTCTAATCCACTCTAGTTTGTTCACATTGACAGTTCACATAGGATTGTAGAAAGGATAGGAAGAAGTTTCTTAAATTTGATATTTTAAATGTTGACTATTAAGTGTGTTTGAGTGGTATGCCCTATTAAGCATGTTCAACCTGTGACCTAGGAGCTATGTGTGACCAAGGATAGCTACAAGTGCGGCCTAATCCAAAAATCATAAATGTATTTTACACATTAGCAAGCCTGGCTGGGTGATGGTAGTGCAAGCCTTTAATCCCAACACTTGGGAGGCAGAGGCAGGTGGATCTCTGTGAGTTTGGGACCAGCCTTGTCTATAGAGTGAGTTCCAGGATAGCCACCAAGGCTATCACAAAGAGAAACCCTATCTTGAAAAAAAAACAAAACAAACAAAAAACAAAAAACAAACTAAAACCCAAATACCTATTATGAGCTATATTTGTGTGTTTTTTTGTTTGTTATCTTGTGTGGACCTTGAATGTGAAAACTTTATAGATGATAGCATTCTGTTGCAGTATCAAAAGGTTGGACACTCCTGACAGAAGATCACAGACTGTCATGTTAGGCTTCATCAGGACAAAATGGCTCAGGGTACTTAAAAACTATAGTAGATCAAAAAAAAGTAGAAAAACCATATCAGCTTACATCTGCTTGCTGTTAGCTAGTGTATTGATAAAACAGAAAAAAAATCTTTCTGTATGATGTGTTCAGTGATAGATTTGGCTCAGAAAAAAGACACGTAGCTTACCCTGGGCAAGGGCCAAGTACCTTAGTCTTCTCTGGCACCTTCATTCTCATGCCCATACCCTGGCACAGACACACATATGCATAAATAAACATAAAACTTTGAAACAAAATATTAAAATTTACAGATAAAATTGTACTTATCATGTACAACATGATGCGTTAAGGCATTTATATACTGTACAAGTGGAATCTATTGGTATGTCTGTCTCCTTAGACTGCTTGCTCCAAAGAGTAATGTGTAGGATCTGCTGGTTTTTGACACTTAAGTAAAAACTTAGGTTTAACAATCTGTGCATGAGTACTCCATGAGGGTTGTAAATGACCCCCTTGAACAACATTCAAACACTTAGTTTCAAATATTCTTTCTTTTTAAAACCCATTTGCAATCAGTTCTAATGGCATCGGGTTTCCTTTACGAATGGTGAGGGTTCAGCCAAGTTAGTGGATATTTAGGGTGACTTAAGTGATAGCTTATTGGCAGTAGCATTTTTTTCCTGGATTGTACAGTGCCAAAAATGATTGCCTAAGAGACTCTTGTAAATATAGCATTAATACATGAGTTTTCTCCTCTGAGGCTTTACTCTAAGTCCCTTTTTTGTTTGTTTGTTTTTTTTGTTTTGTTTTGTTTTCAAGACAGGACTTCCCTATGTAGCTTTGGAGCCTGTCCTGGAACTCACTCTGTAGACCAGGCTGGCTTCAAACTCACAGAGATCCTCCTGCCTCTGTCTTCTGAGTGCTGGGATTAAAGGCTTGTACCACCAACGCCCAGCTCCAAGTACTTTTTAAAATGGAAAATCTAGAGAAATTGATGAAACAAAAGATTTGGCTTACTCTGTTCTTCAGTCTTAATCATTGACTAATAATTACACATGTTCTTCTAACTTAACAGCATCTCTGAGCAGCTTGCTCATCACCCCATTTCCCTCCCCAAATTCTTCACTTACTCGAAGCTGTGCCAGCAGCTACCAGCGACGCTGGCGACGTAGCCAAACAACAAGTTTGGAAAATGGGGTATTTCCTAGATGGTAAGTTAGAATTTGACCAAGATTGACTAATTCCTTAAATATATGTTTATGTAAGGTTTTTAGAACTTGAGACTTGTATTTTGTGTATTTGAAGTCTGTAACTGAAAACTTAAAGTTTTATCACATTTTTTAATTGTGGTAAAACAGACAAAACTAATTTTTTGTTTTAATTGTTTTTACCATATGGTTTAGTGCCTAAGTACCTTCACCATCACTATTGTTAAGTCCTGAACTTTTTATCTTCCCAAACTAAAACCCTAGACCCTTCATTTGCTCTTTGCAACAATTGTTCTAATTTTGAATTTTTGTGGTTTAAAAGTCTTTAGTTTTGGGTTTGCATGTATGTCTGTGAGAATGCATGCCCCTTTTGTACAGGTACCCATGAAAGCCCAAAGAGAGCATTGCATTCTCTATAGGTAGAGTAAACAGGCAATTTCGAGCTGCCCAACGTAGATGCTGGGAACCAAACTTGGGTCCTTTGGAAGAGCATAAGTGAACATAATGGTTGAGCCATCTCTCCAGCACTACTATTCTATTTTTTATCTCCATAAACTTAACAACTATATATAAGTACCTTATTTAAGTGGAACCATACAGTACTTATCCTTTTATATATGGCTTATTTTGTTTATTATATCTTTGAAGTTCATCCATGTCATAGCATATGTAAGAAATTCATATTTATGGCTAAATAACATTGTACTGTAAATATATTTGAGGGGTTGAAGGAGTGGTGCTGTCAGTAAAATGCTTGCTGTGTAAGCATGAGAACTTTGAGTTCAGATCTGTAGCACATTTCCCGTGTAAAAATCCAGGTGCACCTGTTATCCCAGCACTGAGGAAGCAAAGACTGAAGGATTCCTTGAGTTTGTTGGCCATATAGTCTAGCTGAATTGATGAGCTGTAGATTCAGTGACAGTCCTTATCTTAAAAAATAAGGTAGAAAATTATTAAGAAGATACCCAATGTCAACCTCTAACCTCTACACACATCCTACCTACATGCAAGCACACGTGTGACCATGCACACGCACACACACACACACACACACACACACACACACACAAAAAAAAAAGTACATTTTCTTTATCCATTCACCTGTCCATAAGTGCATAGATTGTTTCTATTTTTAACTGTTTAAATAATTTGAATAATACTGCTATGAATATGGGTACATAAAAGTTTCAGTCCATGCCTTCTTTTTGGGTATATGCCCAGAAGTGGGTTTACTGAGTAATATGGTCATTCTATTTTTAATTTTTGAGGAACTGCCGGATAGTGACTGTATGATCTCACATTTGCCATGTAAAACAATTCTGATATCTTTGTATGCTCACCAACACCTTATTTTCTGGTTTTTGTTTTGTTTTGGTCTTGTGTAAGGGAGCCCACATCTCTTGCATGTGAGGCAAACATTGTACCACTAAGTTCCACTCTACCACTAAGCTACACTCAGTTCCACCACTTAATAATTGCCATCCTAGTGAATCTGAAGTGATTTACAAGTACTTTTTGGTCATTTGTATATCATCTTTAAAGGAGTATATATTCAACTTTTTGCTCCCAGCGTATTTGTTTTTGTTGTTGTTGCTGCTGATGAGTTAGGAGACAGCTTTGAATATTTTGAGTATTAGTTCCTTACCATATTTTCTACCATTCTGTGGATTGCTTTTGTCATCTCTTTATGATGATGTCTTTTGATTCAAATTTATGATTTTATAACATCAGTTCTATGTTGTTATTGCCTATTACTTTTCTGTTCTATCAATGAAACCATTACCAAATTTAGTATTTTGAAGCCCTTTGTTTTCTTCCAAGAGTTCTATGTTTAGTGCTTTCATTCTTGGAGCACATATTTTGGTGTTTTAATTTTTCCTGGTTCTCTTTGGGCAACTTGTTTATTTTCAAGGTTATTGCTTGGTTGATTGATTGATTGATATTTAGTTTGTGTTAACATACAGATGTAGATAAAGAAACTTCATGTTTCCTCATTTACTTTCCTCTTTTATCTTAAAATCCAGACATTTTTATCTTGGTTTTGAATTGGGATTATCTGCTTCTTTAATGACTTCTAGTAAGAGGCAAGATTCCCAACCATTCCCAATTTGACTCTGGTAAACGTTCTTTGAAAACAATGAAAAAAAATAGTAGATTTCTTGGAGCGATAACAGTTGTGTTATAACATTGTAAATTTACATATAATTTGATAAAACAGCAGAAGAGCTTTTGAATTAGCAGGGAGATAAACTATTGGTGTTTAAAACAAACACATTTATTTTTAAGGTCTATAGAAGAAAGCTTTAATCTGTCAGATGAAAGTTGTGGCCCTAACCCAGGAATTGTGAGGAAAAAGAAGATTGCAATTGGGGTAATCTTTTCATTGTCCAAAGATGAAGATGAAAATAACAAATTCAATGAATTCTTTTTTTCACATTTTCCTCTCTTTGAAAGCCACATGAACAAATTAAAGAGTGCAATAGAACAGGTAAGTGTACTCCTTTGTATCTTATTTTTATCTTTTACTTTGCATTTTATTTTCTTTTGATTAAGAGTTATGTTTATTCATTTGGCAAAATTTGACAGCTGTTTTGAAGTTGCTTTACAGAATGTTCCAGGAGCTTCAAGCATACTCAGTGTCATTGAAGGAGTTTACTGTTTTAGTTAAAGGCCTGAGGCAGCTTATTCATTCAGAAACTAAATCTTTAAGGGCCTACAAAACAATTATAGTAACTGAAGAAGTGTATGGGTACTCCTGAACTCATAAAATAGCAGGTGAATAAATGGATGTATGTATTTGAGATGTTGGTAAGTGCTCTGTTGTAAAGTAGAACAGCATTCTTTATGTTCCTCTCGTTTTAGAGTTAAGAGAAAAGTTATCAGTGTACACAATAGTTAAAGGCATGGAACTGATTTATTAGTTAGAAAGATGGGAGAGGACCTAGACTTTAGTCATCAGATATTTTAATAGTATCAGAAAACAGAGGAAGGCATAAAAGAAATAGAAAAAGACTGGCCACTCAACCAGGAGAAAAGTACTTTTGGAGTAAGACAATGGGAGAGTGTTTTAAGAGGAATGAATTGTTATGACAAATGCTTCGGGTAGTATCTGAAACAAATGCCTGAGCTTAGAAAATTGAAAACAAAGGATAAAAAAATGAACAAATGAAGGTTTGTTTAGTTTTTTTTAAGAGTACAGAGGAAAGACAAATATGACTTTCTGATGTGAAGTTGTCGTTTCAGCTTATCTTAAAAGTTATCAGTGTCAGGGTTTAAATGTAAACCTTCAGAAATCCGATAAAG